TGCTACATACAGGCCTTTGTAGCTGCATGAACATGCCTTACCAGAAAAATGGGCCCTGAAGTTCTGACATGACTATTATCAATCAACTGTGCAATTGACAAGAACAGAAAAGAAAAAAAAAGAAAAGAAAATCCCTGGAAAGTAAAATCAGTCAGCTCACAAGGGATATTTCTTTCCAGAGCAAAGCATCAACTGTCCAGGGTAGGTTTGAGGAAGATAAGAAGGCTAGGACCACCTTGTGCTCTATCTTTGGGGAACTCAAGATAAGTGCAGAGTTGTATATGGATCTGCTAACATCTCAGTTCAGTGGTACTCTAACTAGAAGTAAAGCTGTCTGTTAGCAATGGACAAGTGTGTCTGAAATGGAAGTTTTCACTATTTTCTTCAGCTACAATGTAGTGGCAGTGAAGGAGACCCTTATTTCCCACAAATTAAGCTGACTGTTTTCACCTGGGTAAATAATTATTCCATTTTTTCCTCATACTGATGTTTCTAGCTTGTTTTTGTTTCTGTATAAAGGCTTCTCATTCTCCTAATTAGAAATTAGCTCTTGACCACCTCTTCTGTCTCTGGCCTTACTCAGCCTCACAAAGGTTGTCCAAACAAATAGGCTCCACTCCTCAAGAAGGTTTTGCTAGATGCAGAACACCAGAGGAATAAAACCAGCACAGTCAAAAGAATAATTACATTTTTAATAAAGACACATTGGGCATCAAACGGAATGCACATGAGCTATGAGTGCAAAGTGGATTAAAATTCCAATAGGCTTTTTTTTTTCATGAAATCTGCCAGAATTTTTATGAGAATATTTACAGAAAATGAGTTATGGTACCCTCTGCAATCCATGTTATTAAACTTACAGTTAATAGAAGCATGACTGGAAATAATCGTAACTACAATCAAGATCAGTATTAACCTGGAGTCTGCCCTCCAGATGTGAATTACATGCTGAATTCTGTCTTATCGCATTTATAAGCTGTCCCAGTCATTGGTTTTTACAAATTTCTTGTCCACCAGGAGGTAACATGCAATTTGTTTTGTCCTTATTGGGACTCATCAAGTGCACAGTTAGTAATGTTGTTCAAACCGCTATATTGGGTATTGAACTCATAGGCCATTGTGCTTTGTAGAGTCTATCTAGTCTTATGAGCTATCATGGCCTTGGTAGTCAAAGCAAACAGGAAGGGAGATATACACACAAGTGGACCAGATTTTACTTAACCATGGCAGTGACTCCTTAATTTACCAAAATCCACAAGCAAGTAGGAGCAAGTCCACCAGGTTCTTTGCTGCCATTAGCAAAGCAGCTGGCAACTATGGGCTTCAGGTACAAAGATTTTATTGCATCAGCCTTGAGTGGGCAGAACTGGTCACAAGAACCAGGAAAAACATCCTCCTGGTGGAAGAAACCTCTTTAGTACCAGTGTGTATCCAAGTAGCCCAACAACCATTTGCTTTGTTTCAGAACCAAATCAACTTTTGAAAAGTGCATGGTCGTGTGAATTTTTTAAGGTGGGGAAGCACTAGAGATTTGTTCCTTAACATTCATTCAGCCATGCAAGCATTGCCAAATGATTTCTATTTGCAGATCCCCTCAAGAGCTGTATTCGCCAAAGCAAAAGTTAATAAATGTAAACATCTTCATGAATTAGCCATGTAGAAAGAGACCTACATATAAAAAACAGACGTCATTTGAACCAATTTCCTTCATTGTTACAGGTTTTAAAGCAAGCTTCTTAATACAGTATAGCTATTAAAATAGTATTTCATTAATGAATCAATTTGGTTCATTATTGCTGCATTCCCTTGATATTCCATTGCTTTTCATTTGAAAACTAAAATGAAAGAGGAGGACTGATTGCCATTAAGTAAATGAACAGTGAGAGAGGATGCAATTTAGTATCAGCAACTGCCTTTCTGAATTTCACAAAATCTATTTCTGCTATGCTTAATGTTTGATTAGCAACATCAAAATAGATTATTAAAATAAAATTTATATAAAATTTACATAAAACCTATATGTATTTGATAGATAGATAGATAGATAGATAGATAGATAGATAGATAGATAGATATTTGTGTGTACAGACTGATCAGTAAATGACTGATATTTCACTTACTTGACTGGATTCAAAAATACCTGCTTGTTATGTAACCCTTCATCTTCTCCTTGTTCCCCAGTGTCAAGAGCTCACATAACCCATTTATAGCCTTACTACCATTAGAATATTTGTGACTAATCCATGTTAGTCTGTGCTTGTTTCCCACTAACTGTTTAATAAACACACCTATCTAAGTTAGGAATCTCATTTTTAACAACAGTAAATGCCTCGCTTAGACCAGACCACACAGCATAACCGTAAGGGTATTTCCTTAGAATTCCTACCCTGTCCAAAGAAGCTTACTCACTAGTGTGTTGGGTTACAGGATTTATGTTCTTAAGAACTGAGTTACTAAAATATTACAATACCAAACGCAGATTTTCTCAAATTAAAAAAAAAGAACGAACTAATCTGGAATGTTTTGTTCTGATCCTTACAAACTCACTTTCAGTTCTGTGCACCTTTAAATGTATCACCTAGACAGCTTATTGAGAATGATGGAAGTTAAAATCAAACACATCTGGAGGGAGCCAACTTTGGGAAGGCTGTTTAAAGGACAGTCATAAATTTGCCAGCAGCAGCAGCAATATATTCCATAGGAGGAAACAGAGGCCGATATTTCTACCCACCTTTGATTGACTACATTCTGTGCATGCCATTCTTTCACAGGTACATGGAAACATTTTTCAGGAATGAAGAGGCCTTCAGTTCATCAAAAGCCTATCATTTTAATGTAGCAGTTATGAACTCAGAGCACTGGAATTAAATTTATAAAGACCAAATTCATAGCTTGGCTCATATGATCCAATGCTTCTGTATTACCACAAAGAGCAGCAGAGAGGAAACTAAGTTTACTAGGTCCTCTTGGCCCTACAAGTCCTTACACCCCTTAAAGTTACCCTTAAAGAACTAAGGGTGCTCTGAGTGGGTTGTGCAAGAGACTGTAGAGCCTTTCTGGCTCTGAGCTGGGATAATCTGGCATGGAAGGATCAGCCATTCACATTGTTTCTGAAAATGCCACTCACTTGTTACTCAAGAAAACATATCTAATGTATCTTCCAAAGTTTCTTGGAGCTTGAACATAATAAAGATTAACAATAATATTTATATCAAATAATGTAATGAAACATAATTGCTGACTTTTACAAAGCATGGTTTACCTGAACTTTGATACTGAACTATAATATCTCAAATTGAAGGGAACACATTAGCTGTGTTTTACAGAAACACCTAAAAATTATGCTTTATTCACTGCTGCAAGATAATGACATTAAACATTATGTTACTAATGCTTCTCATGCTACAGATATACACATCACTATATCAATTTTTCCATATTTATTCTGTTACCACTTTATTATGGCTTTTGTTTGTTTCAATTTTCCAGATAATTTTCCTCATTCCCTTTAAACATTATGTTTTACCATGCTTTCATATTATTTTAAAAAAATAGAATTGCAATAAGCAAATAAACCTCCATGTTATTTCAAATTTTAATGTTTAAATATGTATAAAACATATTTATAATATTTGCATTTATAATATTTAAATATTGTATGCAAGTGAAGTAAAATCCCTTATGACAGTCAATTACGATTTTTCTAATGTAAGTAAAAAAAAAATCCCATGTGCTTGGTTTTATACTTACTTTAGCAGCATAGTTAATTATTATTTCAGCCCCTGAGTAATATCCAGTTATCCCTTCCCATTAACAAAATAGCTTTCATCAGACTGGTAAAAGTATATTTCCCCCATGTTTTTATAATCAGCCCAAATCAATCCACTACAGAATGAAATCCTCTTCATTGAAAGTTATCGATCATATTCTACCCCACTGGTCTGGTGTGAGTAGGTAGATTTTTTCAACTTCCCAGTCTAAACTGAGAGAGAGTGACTGGCACAGTCACCGAACTGGCTTCTATGCCTAAAAATGGAGTAAGACCTCCACTCCTGGTCCAGCACTTTATCCACTACACCACACTGACTCACATTTAAATTCCTCCATGTATATCATTAAAAGATATTCCAAACAACCAGGACCCTCTGAAGCAGGTTCTGGTGGTATGTGGGGACTGATGGACAAATCCCATGGTGTGAAATGTTGTCCACTTATGCAAATACGCATTTGCCCAATACTGGTCAATCACATTATGTGGAGGCAATGCCAAAGATATTTATACATACTACAGGAATTTTATAGAGCAAATGTGAAGATATAAAGCAGTGCTGTCAAGTCTCAGTTACACAAACAGTAAAGCATGAGATCCATAATCCAAAATACAGTTTTGCCTAGACAGAAAAACATTTTGGATAACCTGTCTTAATCTGTCTGGGGAAGTTAACGTTTTAACAGCTGTCAATTTTAGACAGCAGTTGATTAGTATATCTAAAATATATTGCAGTTTAATATGAAATCAGTGGACAACAGCTACTAATCTGTGCCCCCCCGTGTGTGTGTGTATACACATACATACACATATACATATACATACCTACAAGCATATGCACACATTCATGGAGAAAATCTATCTATGTGGTCACTAGGAATCGAAAATGACTTGATACATAAATGACTTGATGGCACATAATCAATCATTACACACACACACACATACATATACAAACAGATTATCAGCAGTAACCTCCAGCATAAAATATATGTACAAATCAACTCTATTTACAAATTGCTTGCACTTGGCAAAGTTGTCATTTTAAAATGTTTCATACTCAAAACCTAATTTTGTCACCAACTATGTCTATTTCAATAACTAGATCAGATAATCAGCAGAAACATTATACCTTTACTTGTGGTGGATTGCAGAAGAGAGTAAGGTTCTCAGGAAGGAGGGGGTGCATTCCAGAAAGGGTAGAGAGACAAGAGACAACACAGTCCAGAGAAGGAGCGTGGGAAGTGTAGGAGGTTTAGAATAGCCACTCCCTAGAATCTCCCAGGGTATATCCACTAGTTGCAGTAGCACAGATTTAGACTGGCAAGATTTGGTCTGTGTGGGGTGTGGAAAGATGGGTAGGAAAAGAATGTAGGCAGCTGGAATTGTGTGCCTGCCCCTTTAATTTTGCAACACCTCAGCGTTCAGATGGGGGAGAGATTGTATAAAAAGCCCTGTGTTTGGGCTAGCTGGGTGTGGTGGTATGCTGGGTGTGTAGAGGAGAGGCAGAAAGAAGCAAGGGAGAGAGTAGCAGTCAAGATTTGTGGAAAGGCCAGGAGCATTAATACCTGGAAATAGTAATATATGTTCTAGGGATAGCAGTAGTGTTTAATAGTTAGAGTAGTATAATAGTAAGTTGAGCAATAGAAATATAGGTTAGGTGAAAACTGTATTAGTGGGACACCTGGGTAGAAAAAGAAGAGTTTTGTACTGTGAATATTGGTTTTCTAAGTAAAGGAACCCTGATATAAAAAGGGGAGAGAAAAGTCTGTGTGTGCAGAGTCTCACTGGGAATATCTTGGTGAGTCTGGGTAATCCACCCTTGGATATTAAATGAACCTGTGACATGGTGTAAGCAATAAAAGAACTGAACTCTGTTGGAATGTTTCTCAGTTGTTCTTGGGCTGGGCCTGACATTACTCTGTGTAATAATTATCCATGTAAATACAAATCCCCTATAGCAAATACATACTGTATAAATATTTGCAAACAGGTTTAACATTATTTTAATCTTTCTTTGGAATATCTTGATAAAATATGCATCCTAACAAAATGGATTAGGTTTGCCTCTGTGAAAAATACTGTAGCAAGAGTTGCTGTAAGGCATAGTGCTCCAACTGTGACATGAATTAATCTGGCCATCCACCCTTTATTACAGCACAGAAACACCTACGAAGAAAAGAAACTGAAATTACTATGACAAAGAAAGCAAACTTAACTTATTACCAGGTTAATGTTCTGATTCAAAGATAAGGAAAGGTAATATTTCCTATAAACTGTAACCTGTTTCTTAATGATTTTCTTGCAAACTTGCCCTGCTCCAGATAGTTCAAATACCACTTAAAAATAGTGTCAGATCTAAAGCCATTCTGAGCTCTGGCAGGATGGAAGCTGCTAGACACACTGTAGCATGACAATCACATATAGAGCTTTGTTCAAACCTTTACAATCATGTTAAGAATAAAGGTAATTTATATCCTATTGGGATTATTTCTGAACCATTTATGGAATAAAAAAGATGAACCACGTGTCACATATTTCATAGCTATATGTAGACATACTAAGTGCATGGAGACACATACCACATTCATTCAGATTTATTTACAGGTATTATCTATATACACAGAACAGCATGTCGTGTTTTCATTTTGCTTATTATGACTAGTATGAATAGTCAGACATTATTATTATTACATCATTACATTATTCAGACTATACTGAAGTTCATTTAACAGAAGGACTGTGCAGATCAATTGGAAGGTCTCTTTAAGCCATCAAGGGGGCTGCCTCTGTTGAAAGTCTGGTGTGTTCAAGACTCTATCCTGGTCTTCTGAGCATGTGTGGGCATCCGGAGAAGATACTTTTCTCTCTAGGCTCAGAAGACCAGAAAAGGGCCTTTAAGTGGGCAAGTTCAGAAGATGCAGCTATTTTGACATAGTGGGTTAAAGGGGCACTTCACAAAGTGACTCTCCAAATGGTAGAACAAAGTGCTAGTTTAGACCCCTGCTTTGACAGAACAAAAACAAAATTGGGAGAAAAAGAATATCACTCACCTCTGAAACTACAGTGCTCACTCCGCTGATGACATAAACAAAAAGCAGGCTAGGTGAAATAAGAAGGCCCTTCAAAGGTCTGTAAGGGCTATGTCCAAAATATCTGTAGATGTAGTGGATGCTGTGTGTAATTCGGATCCCCATATTGAAGCAGTTGGCAAGGATAAATCCTATGCTCCCTAGCCAATGGGTCAAGAAATAAGACATGCACAAAAATACAAAGGACAAAGCCAGCATCACAAAGTTATACCTAAAAACAAAAATGAAATAAGTGAAAAAAATGTATACATTTTGGCATCTTAGCAATTTACTGTCTTAGAGATGGAATTAGTTTTAGAGTACTTGAAATAAACCTCTAACTCAGTGTTTCTCAACCTTGGCAACTTTAAGATGTGTGGACTTCAACTCCCAGAATTCTCTAGCCAGC